CTGTACATATGCAGCGTACATGATTTCTTGAGCGGCCAAGTAAAGGACTAAGTTTTCAAATCATTGTTCAATTACACTTGGCCAATTTTTGGAGCAGCTGGGGAGAAACAGATCAGCCTGTGCTTAGCGAGGTGTGTGCTCAGTCAGTGCTCGTTAGCATGGCGAGCACAGATTGTTGTGCTGGAAAATGCTCTTGGCCAAAGCATAACAGCAAAGAGAGAAGTTCTTAGTTTTTCATACGTGAAAGGTACACTTAAAGAAGGATGGTAACAAAATTACTGCCAGTTCAGTTCCAGGCTCTGCACGGTATTTGAGGACTACAGCCAATGTGCTCTAGTTTTCCCACTTGTGGAGCCTGATGCAGCGCTAACCTACGTCACAGTTTTTACTGTGAAGCTGAAAACCTTTAGTAAGTGAAATTCCCGTACAAGCTTAAGAAAGCGGGACTGTGGGCAGATCAAGAGGCATGGGATCTTCGTTCCCAGCCGAGCACACAGACCTGCGCTACCAGTCGCATGTGACCTCTTTCATTCCCTTTGACACTGTGTGGACAAAGTGGAATTATATCTGCTTTTGCCTCTCAGGTGCTCTTGTTTTTTTTGGAGGCTGTGGATCTATTAAAAAATGACTATGCCTGCTGTGTGGCACTGCCTTAAGGGTGCCATCGACAGCACTTGAAGGGTTCAAAGGCCTGTTGGTAGTCACCCTTCTCCTGTCTTCAACATTGTAGTTGGAAATGCACAATATTAGCAAACCATTAATACTAATAAATTTTTAAATGGTGCGGTAGGAAGCTCCGCAGGTGATTAGGTGGGACTTAAAGAAAAAAAAAAGTAGGCTACTGCATTTTCTAATAAAAATGTTATCTGTCCTTTTCCCATCTTGCCAAAGGTACTTGATGTTGGCTTGGAGGCATACCCATATCCCCCGGAAGAGGCTGAAGATGCCACACGTCCACCAGTACGGATAACCCTTAGGCTTTCTGACAATGTGATGTATTTTGAGGATCCTGTGATAGCCCGATGGGATCCTGCAGGTAGGAACTTAGGACATAAATTTATTTTAAAATTGAATAATGGAATTTATACCTGAGTTTTCTAGAATCCAGCTGTGAAGATAAGAGCCAATTCAGAGCCCAGAAGTAATTTGGGGACTTCAGTGTTAATGGATTTGGGGTTGGTTTTGTTTGGTTCTATTTTCTTCTGCATCAGAGCTAATAATGGGCTGCTTGTTGAGGCTTTTTACTGTAGCTTTTTAATATGAATGGAAAAAAATACACACCATTTAATGGGCGGTAGTACAACTCTATACCACAAATCAAGTTTTGCTAGGGTGAAGCCATGTAAGGTCCACTTTGAGCCAAATCAGCTCCTAACTACGTGCATTAGTGTTAAGTTAAAATATGAAAATTAAGTGTTAAAAACCAAATGCCATATTCTAGTTATTAGATAAATACAACATACCTCTGACTCTCTTTCATGAATGTAGAGTAGAACCTATACAAACAGTTTGAAGGTACTCTTGAAAATGAGCTTGTGGACTGCTACATAGCAAGTAAGAAATAACAGTTAGGTTAGTATCTGTATTTCTTTTGAGATTAAGGAGAAGCTTTCCTGTCAAAATTAGCCCAATCTTATACCTGAAGACAATTAAAATGAGGGGATTTTTTGCCTTAAATGAATTCTTTTTATTTTGTGCCTAGTATTTTCTTACTTGTGAATATTTGTTAACCTAGGATGTCTTTACTAACTAATTCTTCCCCAGCACATACCACAAGCAGAAGCTTTACATATGCATCGTTGTATTTTTTGCATCCCTTTTGTAAAGGCCAACAGTGGAGAACTGATGGCATCAGCAACATAACGTACGAAACACAAGAAGAGAGTATCACCTTTGAGATGGGTGCCTTTTATACAATAGCACTTCTCCAGGATGCTCATCTCAACATGCCGTATCAGGCATGGGAACTGCGACCTACTGGTATGGATGAAGCACTACTTACGGTTACTGCAGTCTTTGCAACGATTCAGATACAAATTAAGGTACTGTAAATAATTTTTTTTATAACACATTTGCAGATTTTTGTTAAAAAAATACAGCATTATTACAGTGTCCTTTATTAAGAACTTGGGGTGCTTCCACAAGAGCAATTTGGATCTCACTCTGCGCCGGTGAAAATGAGGATCTCTTCCTTTCCAAGCACTGTAAGGAACAGTACGGGTGATTTAATTTCAGTTATTTTCTGTGAACTGGTCAGAAGAAAGCACCTGTACGATCGTTCTGCAAAGTTCCAGTAAGTGCTTTGATATCGATAACTACCTTGCTGAATTCAAGACTGTTTCACCAGCTAGAAACTTACTTAAAAATTGTTCCTCGCTCCTCCCACCTATACCAAGAGAAACGAAAGCATTTCAGGTAACCTACAACTAATGATACTTGTTCCTCCTAAAGGTTCAAGTTACACATGATTATCCATATGGCTCATTGCCATATAAATCAGTTCAGTAACAGACGTGATTTTAAAAGAGTTGGTATGAGTGGAAGGCACGGGCCAGTAGACCAGCGTTGTTTCTGAAATCCTGCAGAAAAGTGGCTTTCTTCAGGATACGCGAATGAAGGTTTACAGCCCAGAGTGGTAGATAACGTATGCAATATCCAGAATAGCAACGATATTAATATTTGATGCCTGAAGCAGAAAACAGCTTTCATGACCAGTAAGTTGCTTTCACTGGTTTGTACAACAGGGGAATCAGTGTATGTTGTCTTCAGTAGCGGTGGAAGAGAAGGATGTGCTTTCCCACATCACAGGAAAATGGATAAGTCCAGTTGACCTAAGAGCAGTTTTGAAAAAAGCTGGTGTGAATATTTTCCCAGGAGAGTATTCTCACAAGTACGTCTCTGTGAACAAGAAGGTGAGTGCCAGCGTGAATGGTTTTCCTGTGTTTTTTTCCACCTATTTTTCACTTAGGTAACATTTTCTTATACGAAGACCTCTTGTGCAGAATCAGGTGGCAAGCATACAAGAGTTCTGCCAACTTAGCCAGTTGCTTTAACCAGGCTTCTGGTTAAAGCAAGCTTTTTCTTACGCTTGTATAACACAGGGAATTAGACTGAATGATACATGTATATTTTCTAACTTGTACTTTTGCATTACAGGCTCCCCTAGCAGAAGTTAGGGCCTATCAACAGATGGCACTGGTTGCATCTGCTTTTGCTTTTGCTTGGAGCAAGTGGAATCTAGAAGCAGGTCAAGAGCAAGTAGTGTTCAAGGTTTGTGGATTTAGACTAAACTTCTAGAGAAAACCAGTGTAGAATTCTATCACAGTTAAAGAGACAGAAACAATTAACTTCTCTAAGTTACGCTCATCTCAAACATTGTCTTCAACCCCTGCCTATGCTCCTAGTGTGGCAGTTTTAAGACTTGGGGTTGACTATTTAGCAGCTTTCAGTGTGTGTCAGTAAAACTTCAAAGCCTGCTTCTCCACTGCCTCACAGCTCATGCATTTGCGAGCTCTCATTTTAATGGGACACACATCTCAGTAACAAAGTCACTTGCTAATGTGCTAGGATGTATAGCCAAAGCTGGGATGATGTAGCTGGATGCTGATTTTCATGAAGTATCCTACTGTAGGTGTCCTCTGAATAGCAGTCTGATGTGTAAGTTTTTATAATTAATATTCGGAACTTTCTTCTTGTCCATATGGGGTTTCATTTGTTCCTTACTGTAAAGGAGGGAATAAGCAACTTAAGCGTTGATTTGTTTCCCCTCTGTGAACTAAACCATATGTGGTTAAAACTTCGCCCAGACAGACAGAAAAATACTCGCAGTTGCAGATACAGAATGTACCGTACTGTCGAAATCTTGAGAAGCTCTCCCACTCTCGAGTTAAATGCATGGGACATACAAATATTTAGCCTAATACTTAATCCCAGGAGCGAGAACTAAAACAAGCGATGCCTGTTGGACCTAGCTGCTCTCTCTACAGGAGTCAGGAGCAGCCACTAGAGTGGCCAAACCTTGCATTTTACAAAGGCAAACTAGATGGAAGATTTTGGCGTTGCTACAGTACCTGGTACACAGTCTCTTAGGGACAGAGAGCTAGTATTGTTTTAGGGGTTCAAAGCAGCATCTTGGTTTTGTTTCTGTATTACACTTGTGAGTATACTAGAATTTATATTCTAGTATGAAATTCTAAACTCTGACAGAGTCATGGTCTTCATCTTACAGTGCATTTTATTCTGCAATAGGTAAGCGAGCATCTTAAAGCAGATTCTGTCAGAGGCAAAGACTGGTCTCTTTACATGTTTAATGGTCAGAAAGCACAAAAGCTCAAGATCACCGAAACCAGCGAAGCTTTTTCAGAAGAGCTAGAGGAAGGTTCTGAATTTCACTCCACACTCTACCATATGCTTAAGGACTTTGCCAGCAAAGAAGCAATTGATAAAGTGGAAACAGCTAGCTTCTTATTTATTGATGTTGTGTATCAGCTACTACTTGCTACAAGAGTTTTAACGTACTCTTAAATACTGCATGCTTTCCTTTAAAACTTTATTATCAAAAGCTTTCAGTAAAGTTACATTTCAAGTCTTGAATCCTTTTTATTCAAATCATTGGAACAGCTTCAGTGACTAAAATGCAAACATTTTATTTTTGTTAAAGCAAAATAAGTTCTTTATTCTCTTGTGGCTAGACCACTTAGCCATATTTATTGTTAGCTATGTTCAAAATTACTAACTGTTTTATTGTAAACCTGAATGGAACTCAGACCCTTTTAGGTACTTGTAAAGATGACTTTTGTCAGAATGGGGGGGGGAATAAAAATTTTTCCATTTCAAGTCATGATTTAAAAAAACAAACAAACAAACAAAAAACCATCTCCCCCAAAACCACCCACAACTCAACAAAACAACCCCAAACATGTAACCTTAAATATACTATCTCAGCTTCTCATACTGTCATCCAGAACTTGGAAGTATAACTACAAAAGTCAGAACCTTTGTTATACTGGGGGTGGTCCATTGTGTTGAAGTCCTGTATATGGCCACAACAGTTGCTGTAGTGAGGTCCAGGAGTCCCCAGTTCCTACAGGTGCTGCGTCTGCTGGTCTTTGAAGAGACAGCCCAGTGAGGAAGCTTGTAAGAGCAGCAAGCAGTACCAGGATGGAAACAGAAACCCAGAGAGTTTTGTTAGCGTTGGAAAAGGAAGTCTTGAAGTGGGATGCCAACGATGACATTAAATTGCACCTGCACAGAAGAGTAAGTCATAGGGTGGTTCAGTTTTTCTTCAAAACTTGGAAGCCCTCTTCCCAACCCCACTCCCCCACCCCAAAAATCCCTAAAGCAAACCAGACCCCACAAACCTACAGATCCTTAACCATCAAGAGTGACATGGTGGTTCCTGTATTGGGAGCTATGTGCAATGGTAGCTTATGTTCTGGGTTTAAAATGCAGACTTTGGTAAGCAAGTTCTCAGTAAGCTATTTAGGTGACTGACCTGACCCGTGAGCCCAGTTCAGGCACCCATGCTCCCTGTACCCCACTGTGTTTCTGAAGCGGATTCACAAAAGCTGCCTTGCAGCTCATGAAGAAATCTTGCTTGTAGAAAGCACTGAAAAGTGCTGGCCTTGTGTTTTATTGTTTTCTAGGGCTTTGGTGCCTTCCCTGAGGTCTTACCCTCACTGACTATCCAAACCCTAGACCTCTCATGACATTGGGTATCCCCATCCTTTATCAAACAATAGAAAGAAATATTTGTTCTTGCTGCCTTCTCAGTTTTACATGCTCCCCCTTGATCAGGAATGCTCAGAGTGGAGGCTTAGCATGGGATATTTGTATGGAATAAACAGTTTCTCTGCAGAGACAACAGACCGCCTTTCCTGTAAGGCAGGGGCTTCCGAGGCATACTTGTTTAGGACAGTACTCTCTTCCTTGACTTGAGATATCCAGAGAAATTAGCTGGAATAGTCTGGAATTAGTCTTGATAACCTGCTTGTCTCTCAGTGTGTGCCAAAGCTGCTGTTAAATTTTGCACAGGCCTCAAACCCTTGATCATTTTTACAAGAGCACATGTTAGCATGACCTAGTAGCCTAGCTATAACAGCCGTCAGAGTATAACAGAGTAACTAGAAGAGGTGGGATCATAGCATGAAGTTCCTCTTTACCTCACCATTTAGGGTTAGTAACGAATCCCTGGGTGGGGTGAGTCTCTGGCACCTAAGATTACTCATTCCCAGTTGGTTTGTTTAAGAAGTCGGCATTAACAACCAAGCCAAAGCTACAGCTTTGCTTCCTCTTCCCATGTCCACCACCCAAATGTTGCTTTACCTCACAATGATGTGAGAAAACTTACGCTGACTCTAGGCTCCATTTTGATGAACATTTTCCTTTTTCAGAGATACTTTCCTTGTTTGATGGTTCTTCTTGTACTTCAGCAGGTGATTCCAACTGCTCATTTCTGTAAGCAAGCATCAACAGTTCCAAAGCTTTTCCATCAAGCATTCAATTTCACAGAGCTCACAATAGCTTGACTTTATAGCTCTGATCAGGTGGTGGACAGTTAAAAGTTTTTTAATAAACAAACCAACCAACCCTGCACACACACCTCAGAGGAGAGTGCTGTTGAACTTACTTTGTTTCAGCACATTTGTCTTCGTCCTCTGCCCAGGAATATGTGCTAATGAACCGCTGTAGTGAAGGACGCTTCTCATTTTGCTTTGCTCCCAGTCGTCCCCTGTCATATTTTAAAGACATTTGCCTTAATTTCCCCATCAGATATATAGCAGGAAATTAGAAATTCAGCAGCAGCCTACTCATTTGGGTAGGCCTTAGACAAATAAGTTCCAAAGTTAGTTGCCTGAAATTAGGATTTTTTTTTTTTTTAAAAAAAAACATGACCAAAAAACCCATATCCATTGATGCCAGCTGCCTAGATTTCATATTTTAGTTCTAAAGCAAGAAAGTTGAGGTAATTTGTTTTTAAAACTCTCAACCCTTAATAAAAAAATAAATAAAAAAGGAAGAGCTGTAACATTTAGTCACGAAGGCTCACTTACCTATCGAAGCATGTTAAACTAATGTGAAAGGTGTAGCCTAAACATTATTATACCACAAGATGCTCCATAAGCTGCTTAATACAGGCACACTTAGAGTTGAAAAATATTTAACCCTGTTCAAAGACAAGCCCAAGTAACTTTACCAACTGCTTGATCTCCTGCCGAATTTATCACTCCGTTCATCTCCGTCAGGTTCATGGAATTGGGCCTAGAGAAGAAGTTTGACACACTTAACTGCATTGGCATTTTCGCGCTTCAGCCCAGCCAGTTTTGAGACGGTAAAGCACCTCACCATCCGGGAACCCTTACTTACCAGTGGCAACCCAATGCCTGCATTTGCAGCACTCCTGGGCAACGTTGCGATGCTAACTCTTCGAAGGGATGATGATGGCTATAAAAATAAGAGGCATTACTGACTCTATCAGGGAATGACAAGACTAGTCACCGATCACATAAAATATCATCTGTTTTTATACAAACTGTATAAAAAGTGACACACAAAGAAGAATCAAATCATAAGTGCAGCCCAAACCATATTCTTTAAAGCAGCATCTTTCCACATTAACTGCTTTTCCCCCTCTAAGCATCTGAAGTGAGGCTGGCTACACAGATTCCAGCAAAATACCAACATTGAAGGCATCTAAATTCTCCTAATGGTGCTCACAGGAATTCCTACAGTAAATTTGAATTGCCCCCATCTATTTTTTTCGTATCTGTGTGCTAAACCCTTCTTCTGTAGCCCCAATGAGAGAACCACACATGAACAATATTTCTTAACCGTTGCATGAGAGCACAGCCATTTTGGCTTCCATGAACACTTCATCTTCTAAGTGGGACCACATGCAGTTCCCTCAGGTTGGTGGGGGTGATTGAGAAAATAGATCCTCGTGTTTGATGACATCGGCCCACATTTGAGACAGAAAGCTACCAAGTCAAGCATGTAGCAGAGCACCAGCGCGTGAGAAGGCAAAGAAAACACACATACACACACACTCAAAAAGGCACTTGAAATGTCATGTTAAGCTGTAACAGCCGTTACCTTAAAGTTAAAAGAATTTGGTAGCTTTTTATTTGTAGATTCATCTGTGAAGAGATCAAACATCAGAAAGGCTTACAGGAATGCAGTGAGCTTTATTTGCAACTAACGGTCTGACTTTTTGCAGTCTATCAGAGTACTCTCAGAAAGCAGAAATGAGATTTCAGGAAAAAGCTTTCTATTTCATTAGATAAGTTCGTAATATTCACACATTATACATCCTCTACAAGCATCGGTTTCTGTTGCTATCATTAAATGTATTCTTCTATTATCGAGGCAGTGTCCTGTTACAGGACAATCTTTTACTGTCAGGAAGGAACGGCCCGTGATTCAGACGGCTCCTGCGAGGATTTTACCGGTGTGCGAGACTGCTCTTTCTGTTTTTAAAAATACATGTTCTGTTTTTCAGAAGAATTTAATCCTTCTCTGGCAAAGTCACAAGTGCACAGTGTCATCTGAAAACCTGACCACTGTACCATCTGCTTACAGGGGGAAAATTCAGAGCACCTGCACTTAAGGAGTCTGCAATTTGTATTTAGAAAAGAGCAGGAAGCATCTGTAGAGAGCAGTCAAAGCTCAGCTACCTAGAAATAGCTACTGGGAATGCTCCAGTGTGAGTGAGCACCCAAATCTACTCCTCACAAGGAATAAGATTATCACCACCACGTGCAATGCACTTTTCTAAAAACCAGAACATTACTGCATACTTGCAATGTCCCCCCCACCCCCCAAGATTCATGACAATTTACATACAAGTCTAATTTCAGAGAGTTGTTTCTAATACTGTTAGTAAATGGCTATTTTTTCCTCTATTTTTAGGAGAGGAGATACAACGGTCCATATAACCCCCCTCCACCTACTATGTTAAGCTTCAATTAGATAAGGGTCTATCTGGCAGGTGCTAGAAAGAGGAAAGACGAAGCAGCTTTACCTCGATCTCCAAGAGAACTAAAGGATCTCTCATTCTGGAGCAGGACCTGTTTCAGCTCCTCAAGTTCTGCATGTTCTTTTGTGTACATGCGCTTCAGGTTTTCCACGTGTTGAATCATTACTTCCACAGCCTTGCTGACACGGCTCTCCTAACGGAGGGAGTGCAACAGCAATAGGAAAAAGAAGCAGCTCTTTGAGGAACTGCATCATGTTTAGAGTTTACGTCTAGTATTTACCCACCCCCCCCCCCCCCCCTTAACAGTCTACTCTCACCTTGTATCACCATGATGCAACATCCTCTCATTTTTGTCCACCTTTTCAAAGTTTCACTACAACCCATCTCTTGACACATGCCCAAGTTAACACAGGTCTTATTTCTCCAGTGATTACTCTTATCCTAAAATAAATTAGTCTTCATTTTCTGAGCCCTTACAGCTCCTCCTCATCTCTTTCTCTGATCTACAGTCTCAGCTGCCACCACGCATTTTCTAGTATTGCCAAGTCACATTTCCATGCTGTTCTTTGGCATTATACACAATTACACATAACATTTGAGCAGGTCTTTGTAAATTTCCATAGATTAACTTATTAGCTGCCCTTTCCATAAGGCACAGAATTACTGTTAGAGCATCAAGACTATTTTGTTACCACATTGCATTCTTGTGCTCTCTACATTCCTCTGATGCAAAGTTTTTTCTGGATTTTTGTTTGTTCAGTTTTTTTTTGTTTGTTTGTTTTAAATCAGGACCATATTTCTGTCATGTGTTTTTGTACAATGCTAGTGCAATGTAGCTGCTCTCACAGTGCCTGGGATTCCTTGTAACACCACAAACCGTGATCCGAGAAGAGAAAGCCAGGATTAAGCTGTACTGGTCAGTCTGCATTACATACACGAGATTCCTAAATCTAATTCCAGAATCAGAAGCCTAGCAAACAGATACTGCAATCCCTTTACATCTAGAAGCTTTTAACTTTCTACAAAATACATTTACATGGAAACGGTTACCTGATTAATAGCTCCCAACATCTCTGCTCTACTGGCAACTCGGGCTGCATACTGGCTAAGGAACTGCAAGCTTTTCTGCAACTTCTTAATAATCTCTTGCGCTTGGTTATCTTCTTCACACAAAGGAGCTAAAGCCTAAGAGGCATATTGGTAGGAAAAGCAGTGTGAGCTGTTAGTAGAGAAAGAAGGCTGAACCCAGCTGATGACAGTGAGGGGTTGTGTTCATGCCCACACAGTCAAAAGATCAACATCCAACATCCTCAATCAGTGTAACTTGATGCAGACCTCCAGCGGGCAGAGACTTGTGTTTACCTAGCATAAAAATCAGCTGAAGACAAGGGTTCTTGCCAGGCAATAGAAAAATTCCCCACTGCCTGAGTGCACAATACACTCAGATGAAGGTTACCCCTCAAATGCCAAGTCTCATATTTCAACTGCACCACTTAAGAACTTTGTTCAGATTTGCTTATAACGTATTACACGCACACGCGCATCCTAAGAGCAGCCGTATTGAGAGAGAAACTTTCACAACCGTTCATCCCATCCAACCTACCAGCCTTGGACAATACTAACCTCTAACATCTTTAGAGCATTTGTGATCTCCTTTTTCAAGTTTTCTTCAGCCAAGTCTCGGGACCTTTCTTCAAGCCTCACTCTCTTGTCCAAGGTAAACAAGTCACATTTAAAACCTAAAGACAACCTCAGAAATTCAGCCTGTTGTGGGAGAGGGAAAGATTTCAGAATAATCCAAGTGATGCAGAAGCTTTTAAAGTAGATTTGGATACTGACATGACATTTGGGACTGTACCCCACGAACAAAGTTATAGGAGAGATACAGAAGAGAAAGCAAACACGGCCCACTGCCACAAAGCCAGTCTTCCCCATCTGTAGCAATGGGGGAAATTATCTGCCACCGGAACAGGTGATATCCTGGCAGCACGCAGTGTGCCATCTGCGTCTTTTGACAAAACTCTCTTAAATCAGCACATTCTGCCTGGGAGGAGGTCACAGCTATGCTCCTTCAAGCTTGCAAACAAATGTTTTAATAGTAACAAATCTTTTGTTCGGTTTTACAGATGGCCACCTTTTCCCATCCCATCCCTTCCAAAATTTCCATTAGGCTTGAAAAGACAGATTTCAGAAGCCTACCTATACGTCCAGCTTAAGCTACTCAACATCATTCTTTTATATAGGACGAGATATTAATCAGGGCTTATCGACAAGATCTTTCTGTTGTCCGAGATACTTAAGGATACAAGCAGTCGAGACTTACCTCCACTTCTTTCTCATTAGGAGAGTCACTGTAGGATAAGAAGAAGCTATCATGTAACAGGCTGCAGCTTTAAATTCATATCTGCAGGTGATCATTGAAAGCCAAAACACTTACGGCTCATTTTGCTTTGTTTTATCTGCTTTAATGCCACCTGCAGTGGGTGAACTCCCTGAGAAGAGAGGAGAAAAGTTCTCAGACAAAAGTGAAAGAACAGCCTCCCCAAAACAGCTTGTGAAAGTCTTTTAAGCTCCAACAGAAGCCACTGTTAAAGATTTCCAGTGTTAAGCTCTTGCCAGTGAAAACAATCTGTGTACCTCAGAGTACATTAGGGTTAGTGTCAGTAAGACAGCACAGCACTGTTTAAGCTCTAAGCTCTTGCCAGTGAAAACAATCTGTGTACCTCAGAGTACATTAGGGTTAGTGTCAGTAAGACAGCACAGTACACTTGTACAAAGCCCCAAGAGTTAGTTATTTAGTTGGCTTCAACTGGCATTTAATTAGTACAGGAATGGTTAATTATAGATTTTGGTTTAAGTCCCCAGCCCGTAGGTTCAGGATGTTACATCACTAACTTTTAGTGAAGTCCAAAGGCAAAAGGTGAGGTGATGAGAAGAGTAGAGATATCTAAGCACAGTTCAGTAGAAACATCATCCTTATCTATATCTTATTGCCCCAAGCTCTAGCTAGCATAGAGGATGCTGCTTTACAAATCTTTGGGGAGAGCAGGCGTGCCAAAACTGTTTCAAATATCCCAAGTCCTTTGCAACTCCTAAGAAATTTTCCCTCCTGTCTAGAGGAAGATGGAGCTGGTTAGATCAGTATCTGTAGAAATCAGGGAAGCAGGTTTTGCATTATAACATTTTCCTTCTCTCCACTGCTAATCCATTTTGATCTCTAACTGCAGCTACTATTCCTTAAAACAAAACCCTCTCATAATAATTGCTGTAGGGCAGGCAGCTCTCTGCACCTCTTTACACAGGTCTTGACACAAGTGACCAAAGCATGCACTCCAGTGAGTTAGACGAATGCATTTAGCAAAAGCCTCTTACCTTTCCTACTGGGAACCACAGCTGGTGCTTCCTCACTCTGCTCTTTATTATTTTTCTTTTCCTGGTCCACCTCCTAAAGGCATATCAGAGAGTAGTTATAGCACGGGAACAGCCACACCACCACTGGAGGGGCCTGTCCCCCCTGCAGTGTTTTTCTTTGTCACTGCTCAGCCAAAGCAGTTCTGTTTCACTGTCACTAGGACTCTTACCAGGTCTTGCTTTAAAATGTTTTGAAATGCGGTTTTGTGTTCTTTCATCATGGGGCAGAATTCCTTCTCGGTCAGACCCGCTCCTGTGGAGAAACATTCCCAAAACCAAGTGTAACAATAAAGACAAAACAAGCCTCCAACACCCAGTGTACTAGCCGTGGACCAACATGGCTAAGAGAAACTGCAGCAAGTGTCAAGAGAGGGCATTAAGAAGGAGAGGCAGCAGCAGAGAACACTATAAAGACATAAAGGAAGAAGTGTGATGATAATTATGTTTGGCTTGGAAAAAATCCCAGTAAGAAGTGTTACATGTCTACATGTGAGAATATGACTCCTGGTTGTAGTTGCAAGACTTATTGGATAAATGAATTTCATTATTTTTCTACCAGCATGGGGTTTTTTTGTTTGTTTGCTGTTTAAAGAGACAGTTTAGAATTAATTTTTATTTGGAATTCTATGAGCACAGGAGTATGTAAAAAGAATCCCATGCACAAACTAACAGGAGAAGCGATGAGTATTTGCAATTCTCTTCTTTCATGTTATGGGATATCAGATGAAGTCAAGAAATAGATGTTGCTTCAGCTGCCGTAACAGAGGAGCTTGAGCACAACCAGGTCATGAGTTGCATACGGTTGTGGTATTTCAGGTGTCCATAAGCTTCAGACATAGTCTGACACGTAGACTGTCCTTTGTACCTAAAAACTGGACTAGCAGGGTGCTGATAGAGCCAACAAAATAACTCTTTCCCAGAAGATGAGTGGTGATGAACTGATAAGCTCAGGAACTGATTATGCCAGTTCAAATGCAACACAAACTTTCAAGTGCCGCAATTTAGAAAAGCTTTAAAGCAGGCAAAAATAACCTCCAGGAAGACAGCTATTAAAAAGGATTTAAAAAGGAAAATATTTAAGAAACTGAAGAAAGTCTGAAAGTCACACTAGTTTCTTGTGTAGCAGTAACTCTGGTAGCTATTTATACCTTTTAGAACATGTAGAAGGTTTTTTTTTCTTTTCTGTTTATGTAGTCATACACAGTCACCCACGCAGATGCAAGCCAAAGAAATGGCACAGGAAAAAAAAAAACCAAACCCACATACCTTCAGGTTTGAAGTGCTTTCTCTTTTCATCCTTCACATGAACAACCACCTCTACTTAGCACTGCCTTTTGTCCCTGCTGATTTTTGCAGGGATCCGACCTGGCTGCCAAGCACCTTTAGAAGACATTGTGTGGTACTCGCAAAAACCACAAGTGGAGATTCATCAGTGTCTCTGTTCTAATACTAGAAACACTTTCTCTTCAGAGATTTACAACAGGCAGCAGGATTCTCAGACTTTAAAGCTACTTGGACTCTTTCTGATCTGTTTTGTGTATCTGTTTCCTCCCTGCCAAAGGCACCTAGACCACATATGAAAATTAACAGTGGAGGCAAATTAGTAGAAAGAAAATACGTTTAAGTGAGGGGACTGAATTAGATTTCAGGAAGATAGTTCTAAAGAAAGAAAACCAAACAAGAAATGATGACAAGAAGTCTTATATTTAGGTAAAGGTTAAAAAATGGTTACAAGCAAGCATGCGCACGTATTCTGTGCTGCTTATTCAAATCAGCTTCTTTTAAAAATAGCTTAAACACACTGTGTACGCATACTCCAGTTTTGTTTTGCTTTTAGTTTTTAACATGGAGGAAGCACCAGCAGATCTGGTAAGAATAATTCTCCTGGGTGTTTATGGCTATAGCAAGAGACAGAACCATACACAAAGGCCTCTATCCTCGTTGCTCTTCTTGACCCATCCCAGCTTGTACAATGAGCATCAGTTTTGAAAGAGAGGAAAGCGTTATTTAGTCTAACTGTGTCACTAAACTTTTTAAAGCCGTGAAAACATTCTCTCTCTCTCCTCCCAAAATTGCCTGGGGTTTAGCACCCACACAATGTTTTGCCAGCTGAGCAAGCATCAAGATTTCACTAAATTATTTCACGTTTACCTCCTGCAGTGCTGTAGGCTACCGGCCTCCTGCAAGTAGGTGAAGCCTTATTCCTACTCAGAGTTTCAGGGAGGGTTGAGAGCACTCACAGGCAAAAGTATGTTGAACAACAGAAAAATCACAAGTTGTCATTAAGTTATTTTTCTTACTCAGCTTCCTCACTTCAAAGATGTGCTGGAAGCAAGCCGTTTCCTTGCTGCATGAATGCCAGCACGCTGCAGCAGTTACTGTACCTGATACAGGACCAGACGGATCCTTATCGTTGTTTTTGTCCGTTGCTACGGAAGTTGGCACATCTTCCTCTTTTTCACATGAGCACTTGGGTGATTTGTCCTCCATAACAAGGCAGCCTGTAAATTCAGGCAACAGAAGACAGAGCTCTTACTGTTCAGTAAGTGCGCAGACTTGAGCATAACTGTTTTCAAGACTTTCAGTGCAAAAAGTTCACACATCTGTGCCCCAAATTAAGGGCTTACCCGTTACTGGTGCAGTGCTTTCCAAAGAGGATGCGAGAACTTCTTGGGGTGAAGTTAAGCGATCACTGCCAAAATAAAATTCTTTCAGATACTCATCCATATTATACAATCTTGATAAAGGCTTTTAAAAGCTTGCACAAACCCTGACCTGGATGGGATCAGACTGGCTGGTAGTGTTGGCTCTGCACAGTCAATCTGAACGGAAAGAGAGAAGGATTAGTGTCAGGGAAAGGGTTGCCATGCGAGTAGAAAACTTGTATATCAAAGTTTTAATAATTCCCCCAGCTGTGCCTGAGTTATTTCAGCAGTGAAGAACTAGATGGTAAGTGCACGCAGATTCATCTGCTAGTCTAAAGCCACCCATACATATAGTACATAACTTAGCATCTTATCATCATTAGGAGTAATAACTATGTTTCTGCAGAAATCTCATCTCGGGAATATCATACTTAGGGATGTATTTTGGTTCCTGACTTCATGTTTTGCTTCTAACGCACATTTTCAAATGACCGACCCACGTGTTACCACACCACTGTTCCATCTTAATGCTGTGCATCAAGATATATCCATTTTCAAGGTCTTGACCTCAGACCCCACAAGTGAGGTGCACAGAGCTTCACTCAGCTATCGATGACAGACTTGTTTAGGTAAAAAAAGCATTACTATTAACAGCTCGACCGAGCAGATGATTCGGAACACAGAAAACTTGCATGTTGCGTTGTACATTTTAGCATGTGTCTTTGAATGACACTAGTTTTCAATATTATAATTAACAATTACACCTAGCCAGTTCAGAAGGCTTCAGGCCTCCTCCTTTGTATGGAAAGAGCAGAGAGGAATTCAGCAGTTAAAGGCCGGTACGTAGTTTTGCTCATGTTCCTTTAGTCGCTACAGAGCGGTTCCGGACCCGAGTCTTATCACAGAGAGAAACCAACATCCTCTTAAGTCTTTTAATATGACAAGGGAGATATACTGAACGGGAAATATCCCTCTTCCTCATTTCACCCTGGATAACTCCAGCTTGCTTATTCAATTGATAGACTGGTCTCTCTTTATGGGTGAAAATACAGGGTGAAACAGAGGTTTAAAGGGTTAAGTCAGTAATGACTTGTGATGAACTCCACCCACTGCTGAAGAGGAGCGCTGAATACACACACACCCACCCAACCTATCTCTAAGCAGAGAAGGTATGAGACTAGCCACCTTTGGGTAGCTCCCTACGTATCAAGTGTCCAAGAACACTACTGAAGTCAGGGGGGACACAACAGAAAAACCATATCAGCAAGTGATCATCTATGTTCTGGTGTCTTCCCTTCCCCCTCAAACATCCTCAAAGGACCCAGGAAACTCAGCAAAGTTGAAAAGGAGGTGACCAAGGCCCCCCGGTCACTCCTGAGAGCAGCTGGCTGCTCCCAGCATCAGCAAGTGCCTTCTCTCTCTCCTCTCCACTCCTCCACCCATCAGAGCTTGACTGCACTCACAGAGCCTTGCCCCAGCCAGCTGGATGTTTCCTCTAATGCAAATCCAGGCTATTTTTATTCTTATTTGAATTCTCTATTAAGCTTAAGGAAGTACAGCATTGTATTTGCCTTGTTCAAGCCATTAGGTCTACAGGAGTATTGGAGAAGGAGAAGGTGAGAATAAATAGCATGTTGGAATGAAAACAAAAGAAATCTAAAGCGCTTTTAAAACAAACACCCCCCACACACACACACCCTCCAACCAAACAAAAAACCTTGCATCACCTGGAACTGACTAAAGCAATACATTATTCTGCATGCCCTCTCCCTCCCCAGGTAATCACACAGTCAGTGGTTTCTGTCTGCAATGAAGGAAAATCCTCAATTCAGTTTTTAAAACCTCATGCTGGCTATTAGGATTGTGAGCTGCCATGGATTGCGCAGGGTACACTTCAAGAGAAAGCAACAACAACAAAACCCCACATTCTAGACTTCCTAATAAAAATCTGTTTCCACAGGGCATTAGAGAATGGTTCTTCTTCCTAATAAAAGGATTGTGTCAAAGAAGATCCTGCAGTACGATCCTAATTACTTTTTCCCCTTCCATCCCTTTGATTAGCATAATAATCCAAGGATAATCCATAGTAATCCAATCTATCACAGCAGACAAGTTCTGGCCACAGTCGTGCGTAACTCCTCCCAAACAAGCATTAACATTTGAAAGGCCTGTCATCTGGCTTTTAGACTGTGATACAACTTTTATATTCATAAAATATAAAAATATATTTGTAGAAAAATATACAAAACAAGTATAAAAAGCCTAAGCTTCATCTGGCTCTCACAAGAGCTCCTTTATTAAATAGCCCCTAAACTCCTATGGTGACAACGCTTTGACAAAATAATTTGAGTTACTTACATGCTGAAGGGCTCGATTTGCTCAAACGCATCTGCAACCACAGTGTATTAAAAAAAAAAAACCCCACACCACTAGGGAGACTTTTCTTATTAAACAAGGTTATTCAAATATTGCTGCACGTCATAGTTTTTAGAATAGATACTGGACACAGCCTGTTTGCCTTTTCACAGGGGCAAGCTTTAATATTTTAATTTTCCCCCTCTAGAATATTCACATGGAAAGTTTATATAAAAAAAAGGCAAAAATGGAAAATGACATTTCTGAGCCCAGCTGGAATTACAGAAAGTTTGAAAGCAATGAAGCACAACTTTGCAAGGCTGTGACTTTCCAGAAGGACTGGGTAAAGCAAGAGCCCTTAAGATTATCCTCTTTAAGGTAGCTTAAGTAGTAGCAGCCCAAGCTAGGAGTTCCACACCTGCTCTACCCCAACCGAGCAGTGTGCCGAAACCACAGGCAGTCTCCATCACTCTTACTTTTTACCCTCACTGCACTTTCTGCTTTGATCTGCCACTACAACCGGACAACTGCTGCACTTGAAGGTACCACACACCAGCTAGTGTAGGTCTGAGGTTGCCTGCTCATTAGTCTTGCAAAGGTTATTTCCAGGTTCACAGAAACCACTGACCGATATTATTCCATCATCACCACCACCACCAATGCCAATACTGGAGTCTGTAAAGCTAATTAGAAAGCCCGTGTGGCAGGGCTGAGGTCTAGATTTCAATAGTGAGTATTGTGGCACTGAGCACAGAGCACAACTAGGTGTGCTGAGCTGCAGCTCATCTTGCTGTTGCCACGAGAAAGCCGACTGACAGCTCAAAACTGTAGATGCAGGATTCAATACAGCAGTGAAAGCATATCTGAGCACATCAGCTGAAGGAAAGTTTTCATACAGCAAAGAAGTCATTTTTCAGCTGTTACGTGGTAGCCGCGGGAGAAAGCGCAGAGAAAGACAGCATTCACAACTAAAACATCCTGTGGCTTCTTGCAGGTGGATAAAGAGAACGAAATCACTCAGACTTCCCTGGCAGAATTGAGTATTCCTGCAGAAACAGCACTCTTTCAAGCCTTGAAACCGTGTTTAAAATACAGCTAAAAGCATGACCCAGATGCACTTGAACATCAAGACATTTAGGTCTATAACTACAGTATTCCAGAAACGTGCCCAAATAGAAGGGACTACCCCACACAGAACAAGATGTCACAGCACCCTGCTGACTGATGCCAGCTTCATTCGCCTTGGAGCAGTGCTGATTTATGGCTGCTCAATCTGGATCCGAGTAAGGCACTAAATGCTTGAACCCATTCAAAACCAGATCTCGGGCATCAGAGACAGCACTCACCTCCGTAAGTGAAGAATCCATCATTGTAATGGAAACAGGAAGGTCTGCATCAGTATAGTTACCAGCAGAGCATATTTTCCACCTGGCAATACACATTTTATTTGCATATTGCCCAAACAACAGTGAGATATATTGCCCATTTTCCTTAACCACATAACAACTGAAGTCACCGCTATCTGTATAGTCAGACAGCTGGTCTCTCGGAGAAAGACAAATTCATCACTACCATCAATCCCTCCTCCCCCGAACAGCAACAACCACCACCAGTCCTTCTCCCAGCCTCCTCCACACTGCACAGCTCTGCAGAAAACCAGTGGCAAAAGCTTCAAGAGCTGCTGAGTCTTTTGCTGCAGACTGCCTGCCTCTGCATCTTCAGGAACACCCTTATCTTTTAAAATATTCACTGACAATGGTTAGCTAGCTTTCATAATCTTAAGCAGTTCAATCTCTATTTTAAAGAACTAAGGAGGCAGCTTGATAAGCAAAGACCTCAGAACTCCTGCTCTACACTCTGCAAGAAAAGTGTGACTCCTCAAAGCCAATAGGATTTTGGCCACTAAATGGGAGTGTCAGTTGTGAGTTAAATACTGGAAATAGACACAAGAATGCCTACATCATGCCTCAGTTCTCCAGCATGAAAGGGAAACACCGTCACTGTATTTGGCTGGTGGTCATACCAACAGTTTCAGTAAAAAGTTTTAATACTATGTTTGTGAATAGAAGTGTTACCCCATAACACCATTAGCTGACCACCGAGCCTCCAGTGTTTCCTGTAAGAGATGCTCTGCTGTTGAACTCAGCACGTGCTGGGGATACAGCTTTCCCTTGGAACCTGCTAGGTCCTGTGGACTCTTCTGCCCTTCACCGCAAAGAGGTTATTCTGCCATCTTACTTGCACCCCACTGACGTCACATCTGAAGCGGACACGTGTCCCAGATCGCAGCTTTCAAACGTGCAGCTGCCAGAGCTCTGTCTACAAGGCCAATCCCAGCCGTGCACAGGAAAGTTATTTGGGCATGAGGTTTCCAAGGTCAGAGCATCTGTTAAGAGAGACAAGTGTGAAGAGTGGCGGTCATTGGCAAAGTTGGATTTAGTCACATGTCAATTTTTGACTAACTCTAAAATAATCAAGAAGCAGACCAACCAAATACAGATGTATAATAAGGCAGCTTCCATCGTGTATGAATGGGTTAGTTTGCGGCCTTAACATATTTTGTAGATGGAGAGTGTGCAGCACCTGGGGATGGGGATTTTCCATCAGTCAGGTTATAGAAACTTCCACGTAGGACAGCTTTGTTTGTAGTGAATTGTTTTGTGTGGCAGAGAATGCTGGGAAATAGATCTTCTTTGTTGTATCAATACTTGATCAGTGCAAGCCGAGAATACCTGCCTTATTTGTGGCTGGATTGTGATATTACAGCAAGCTGCAAGAACACTCCGAGCTGACCCACTGAAACAGCCCTTTCAGAGCAGCAGAGTGCTCTTATAAGGAACATGTGCAGTCAAGCAAGATCTTCTTCCATTTCCCCCAGTATGGCGTAGAATTACATTTGAGCATTTTATAGTGTGTGTGAGAAGAGACTCTGTGTTGTACCAGCTTACTGCTGGAAGAAATGCTTTGTCTATAAAAGCCCAAATGCGCTCTGCAGTTCTGCGGCCCTCCGATGCGTATCTGTCCGTGGTTGCTTTTAATACTCATAAGGCTTGAGAGTTGCAGAAAAGTATGAACACCTTATTAATGCAGGAGAAATCAACAAATACAATTATTTGATCCTCAGTAGCTATGTTACCCGTTCATGTTTTTAAACCGGGACTGACCTCAGCTCAGTAGCAAAGCAGCAGGACATGGCTTGCTATCTCAGTGTGTGCCAGTCAGAGTGAATGGGAAGAACATAACTCAAGCCCTCTTAATCCAGACTGGCAAGTATCTTGCCAGGAATATACTTGGATGTATGATTTATACCAATGGTTCCTTAAGCTTTCGGGGACTCCTGCTAGGCTGACAGACAGCCACCTTTTCCAGCCTTTCATCGCAAGCATTATAACCATGGTTCAGCCTCGTGGATTACATGCTAAAGCCAACAATAGATTTTCCACACTTTACCAGCACATTTAGCACCATTGATGCTGTTCTATCAACTCTTCCTATATTTCAGGAGAGACACAGAAAAACGGCCATCACCAGGTCTTACCTAGCAGAGGTGTACTACGCCAGTATGAAATATCTGAAGGCAGTGTCCTAGGAAGTTCAGTGCACAAGGTGGATCCTTCACTCCACAGTTGTTTAGAGCAACGGAGATACTAATTGAAAAATAGAAAGTGCTGCTGTTGTTCAATCACACTGAATACATTAATGCCACCAACTCCCCCCACACACGCAGTTGCATCTGCATAATGTAATACTAACAATTATACAAATACATCATCTGTTGCTTTTTAGTCTAGAAAAGCTCATATCCTTAATGGGCGGAACAGATACAGGAAGAGGTAGAGTAATTCAACTTTACATTTGCAACAGACGTGTTGGTTCAAGCTAGGTCTGGAACTAGATACTACAAAACCGGGCAAGATAAGCAGGACAGGAGAACTAAAAAAAAAAACAACCACCAAAACAACAAAACACATGAAAAACAAAACAAACAAAAAATAAATTGAAAAAAAAAAAACCCTTTCAGCCAAGCCAAGCTAACTGGACAGACTGAGAAGGGGAACGTTCACCCAGTGTCCAGCACCTGCTAAACAGGTCAGATTTCCCTCAGCAGGAGCAGGAGGGCAGCTCCAGCTCGGCTGCATGGAGACAAAGCACTGCCCCCACCATCCCCTGCATGCACACCAGTTGCTTGCTGGTTACAGCTGAAGAGGGGTCAGTCTGAAGATGGCTAGAGGAAACTTCTGAAGCAACACGTACACAGCTGCTTTTGACCTATTGTTTCTAAAGTGATGAAAAATAAATTGGAAGATGTAGCCCCATCTTCAGCCTCTGATCCTTCTCAAAATGCAATTTATCAAACACCTGTATTTTGTCACAGTGACTGTTCAGAAGCAATAGGAAACCGGTTTTGCAATAAGGTTTTGAATATACTTTTGTATATGTATACATGTGCATGCATAGATACGTAAATATGTATCTCAAATTATTTTTATTGAATGTTTAACTTGCCAAAGTTTATCACAAGGAAAAGTTGTTTATTTCCTTCAGGTCATGAAAAAAAAAATAAGAACAAACAAAACTAGTGTCACATTTTAACAGGCTCAGCAATGGTCATAGCAAGCACACTCACCTTCCCTTTTACCGTCTCAGCTGTTGTGGGCAGCAGACTGTAGTCAGATTCTAACTCTGCACAGCACTGTTGCAATAGAGAAATAGTTTAAGGCAGGCAGACGTAGAAGAAAAAAAAGGTAAAAAAGAGAAGGAACACTACTACTGATTATGAACAAAATGGAATTTTATCTTTCTAATTGAACTATTTTCAGCTATCAGGAAGACTATGCAGTTGTTTCCCCTTGCTACTTTCAACCTTTAATTCTGCAGACCTTTATGCACAAATACAAGTTTTATTCTCATGCAGCTGGTCCACAGTTTTGATTCTGCTCCTCTGATGCCCCTGTTACAGCCTAGGATACATTTTAGGATCTTCTGTTTCTTGTTATTCTATGTTAAAACCAGACCGTTCAGACCCTGAGCTATAGCGTTCCTTACTAGAGCCAGTTGGGAAAAAAAAGCCTTCCCACAATATCGCCCCCTCCACCCCCTTCCAAACTTGAGGGAAGTATTTTTATTCAAAGCAAAGCACTCCAGAGTTATGTAATTTCCAACATATTTCCACAGAGGGGCACAAAGGTAATAACTGTTTCACTGCCTATTCTAATGTCTGGATACCGAAAAATATTTTATAACAAGATTTTAAACATTTATTTTCAAGACTGTCTGCAGAAGAGAGGGCTGATCACACCAATGCATCAGGGAAAGCTTCCCTCAGCCCCATTTGATATGATCACCGACAATGGTTTACAGTCAAGACCAACACCACACCTGTAAGTTCTGGCCCATTTTTTCCCAAAGGCTGAAGAAGGAAAATAATAACGTACAGATCAGTACATACAGTTTACTGCCTCCACAGTTATGTACGTTAGAAAGAAAGAAACCAGATGCTGCCAAATTACTTGCAGTTCATCTGAGCTGTAGATGTCCTTCCACCAGAGCACCTCCTGTGCAAGCCTACCTTTTCTTCTCCCACCAAACAAGCGTCATACCTGACACAGCAATTCACAGAGTCGCCTTTGAAGCAGTTCCCATCTCAGTGCATTAGCAGTTGCTATGAAGACACATTTACAAGTCTTACAGGGTTCCTTATAATTTGATAACAAGTAGTCGGATGTTATAGTGTCTTTAAACCTGCCTATCACAGGGAGACAGTCCTGAAGGGCACTGTATCAGAAATAGTGTGGCCAGCAGGAGTAGGGAAGTGATCGTGCCCCTCTACTCGGCGCTGGTGAGGCCGCACCTCGAATACTGTGTTCAGTTTTGGGCCCCTCACTACAAGAAGGACGTTGAGGTGCTGGAGCGTGTCCAGAGAAGGGCAACGAAGCTTGAAGGGTCTCTGGAGAAGAAGTCTTCTGAGGAGCGGCTGAGGGAACTGGGGTTGTTCAGCCTGGAGAAAAGGAGGCTGAGGGGAGACCTCATCGCTCTCTACAACTACCTGAAAGGAGGTTGTAGCGAGGTGGGTGTCGGTCTCTTCTCCCAAGTAACAAGCGATAGGACGAGAGGAAATGGCCTCAAGTTGCACCAGAGGTTTAGATTGGACGTGAGGAAAGATGTCTTTACTGAAAGAGTGGTTAAACATTGGAACAGGCTGCCCAGGGAAGTGGTGGAGTCCCCATCCCTGGAGGTATTTAAAAGACGTGTAGCTGAGGCGCTTAGGGACATGGTTTAGTGGGCATGGTGGTGTTGGGTTGACGGTTGGACTCGATGATCATTAAGGTTTTCCAACCTTAATGATTCTATGATCACAAACCCATTGTAC